GTACATTCCAGACATGGATGTATGCTTCTATGGTTAGGATTTTACTGGCTTTGCCCTTTCCCTGGTCCCAGTTTATGTCTTTTTCAGGATTTTCTATTTTGTCTGGGTTATCTAATTCGGTGACACATACTTGTTCCAGGTTTCTTTCTTTTCTTTTTTTTTTTTAAGATTTTTTTTTTGTATATATAAGTATTCTATCTGCATGTATGACAGAAGAGGACATCAGATCCCATTGTAGATGGTCATGAGCCGCCATGTGGGTGCTAGGAATTGAACTCAGGACCTCTGGAAGACCAGCCAGTGCTCTTAGCTGCTGAGCCATTTGTCATCGTGTCTCCTCCCCCCCAGTTTTCCTTTTATAAGCCTTACAGTTTCATAATTGTTTGAGGCTAGGCTGTCTTTGAACTCACTAGCTTCCTGCTTCAGTCACCTTTAATCCCTTGGAGGTGTGTGGTGTTTACGCCTTGTAATTAATCACTGTTGTAATAAAGTTCCTTCTCTCTTACTCTTGAATTTTGTCTCTGTAGCTGAGTATTTATCTATTTTATTGACATCCCCTGAAATATGAGTCACCTTGACTATAGCTGGCTCAGTAGAAGACTGACTACCTACCTAGCTAGAGCCCTGGCTTCTGTCTCCGGGACCACCAAAAAGTAAAACAAAGCAGCCTTTCTAGTGACCCCACAAATCCAGTCCCCCAACCATTCTTTTTTCTTTTTCTTTTTGAGAAAGGTTTCTCTGTGTAGTGTTGGCTGTCCTGACCTTTGTGGAGATCTGCCTTCCTTTGTCATTGTTTCCTCCCCCCCCACCAGCTCTGGGATCACAGGCATTCATCACTGTGTCTGAGCCACATCCCTCCCTTTAATCTTTTTTAGTTCCTCTACCTCCTTTTCTACCTGATTTGGTTTATTAGTTTCCTGTTTTTGTTTTTTTTTTTTTTTTTTAGTTTCTTTTAGGCATAAACACTTTTTTGTTTTGTTTTCTGTTTAGACAAGGTCTTTGTGGTTTGATTGATCCTTGACTCATGATCCTCCTGCCTTGATTCTTGAATGTTGAGATTGCAGATGAGTACGGCTATCATGGCTCATTGCCAATATATATTTTATTTTACCTTACCTTGTTGTTTTTAAAAGTAAAGAACGTGTATGTGAGAGAGAGAGAAGAGAGAGAGAATGTGTGTGCATGAAGCTGCACAAGCTTGCATGTACACAGATACACATGGAAGCAAGCACGCCTCGCGTATGCAGATTGTGTGAGTGTGCAGAGTGGATGCAGTTTTGTACATCGTTACCTTC